TACCAACTATGTAACCCACTATGCTACCAAGTTCCTTAGACAGGAAGAAAGGTGTGCAAATGTTTACATGTCTACCAAGGTCCCAGGTAAAGCTGATTAGAGACCATACATTGAGAACCACTGGTCCTACAGGGTAGTTGTAAAGATTATATAAGATACATGTTTGTGGAACTAATTTTTAAAATAAATTCATTTATAATTTGGTCTTTATCCAAATATTTTATTAAACTAAGTTGGTTAAATTTTATTTTAAAAATCTACCTAATAATGTTAATGATATATATAGTGTGAGCTTTAAAAACAAGTTTCATAATTACCAAAGTCACGTACTGCATTTTCTAGCTAGCTAAAATAACTAAATATACTGCCATCTCTGTATTTCTAAACTTTCGGTTAGTACCTAAAGTGTTTTTCACTACATAATACTAGTATTTGGGGGGGAGAGGAAAGCACAGTGAGTGCTAAAATAATTTTTCCATTTTTAATAAAATGCCAAAAATATCACAACCCCCCCCAAAAAATACTAGTATTTGACAGATCGTGCATTGTATTAACATGTCCAATATGCTAATTAAATACATTTAAGGGTTTAGAAAATATAAGAACATATACGAAATAGAGAAACATATAAGAAAATGTTATAACAACGATAATGTAAAAAAGAAAAAGCTTTATCTCCTGCACAATACCTGTTCTTCTTCATTAGTAGCCGCTATGTAGCCCATAATACTTTGTATTTCTTCATGAGTTCCACCTTTGCTGAGAAAATATTTAATGAGTCCATATAGAGATGTCCTTATTGTCCGAATATCATCTAGAGACAGCTCGTTGTATTTGCAGCCACTCCTGAAAGTGAAAGCCAAGAGCAAGAATTAGAGACAACAGTGTTTTCATTTGTCATTATTTAAACATAAAAGAATTTATAGATAGGAAGGGGGCCTTTCTGTGTAATTATCAGAATTCATGATGCTTTGTACTTCTTTTTCTTTCTAAGGAAAAATTTCAGAAATAGGCATTAAAAATAATACACCTTACATTTACAGAACACTTGGTTCTCAGTGCTCTTATACATGCTAATTTAATTCATTATTACTTCTATATCACAGATGAGGAAACACAAGCCCAGAGAAGAGGGATACACAATTAACAAAGCACAAAACTCCAACCCAATCTATATACTCCATTTTTAATGATCTGAACCTCTATACTATCATGCCTCTCTGAAGTAACTCAATAATCCATGCATGTCAACCAAGTAGCTGACAGAAAGCATTATCAAAACGAGTGGGAACACGGGCCTCATACCCATAATAAATCCGAATTGTATCCAGAAGAAACTGAACACCATATTTCTTTCGAAAAACTCTCCTGCTGTCTTTGATAATGGTAGAAAGATATTGTATGTGACCTAAAACAGAAAGTTCACTCTTAAATGACAAATGTTAAAGTCACAGGAATAATTACAAATTTCTAAAACAACTGTAAAATTGTATCTAACAGCTTGCTCTTACCAATTCGAAGAGGAAAATCTCCACGGTTCCAAATTCGAAAGTCAAAAAGTAAAAACTGATACATTTGTTGCAAAAGCTGCACATTTTTCTCTAATGATACCTGCTCGATTAATATTTGAATTGCCATCAATACATTTACATCCATCAAGGTGCTTGGCACCTGAAATACAAATGGAGAGGGTTCTGCACAGTTCAATTTAAAGCACTGTCATTAAGGTATAAACTAAAGCAATTAATTCAGACCATCTATTAGCTCTAAAATTAAAAATTCTGGTTAGAAAAATAGAAACATAAAGGACTCTTTTCCTGATGTAAAGCTAGAACATATTTTTCCTATGTCACCTCCCTAAAACAGTTTTAAATATGATCAAATATCTTATATACTAAAGCTAAAAAAAGCATCCTTTATACCCAAGAGTCTAAACATGAAGTCATTCTTCAACAAGGTGATTCAAAGAATGTTTGAAGTTTCTTGTGAAACAAATTACATCAATTAATATAATCAAGCTATACTACTGTTATTAAAGCACACAGACACAGTTTATTTATTACAGGGAAACCCCAACACCAATAGCTAATGATCAACACCAGGCGCATCTACTGGTTATCAGACTAACTCACCTTCTGAAGCAGGACACCAAGAGTCGCAACTCCATGGGAGTGAGTAAGATTGTCTTGGTTGATAGGATGTCTCTGAATAAAGTGCTTCACAATCAAAATAAATGTTGCAACTAAGTTTCTCTCTAGCCTTGATTCTGGAATTAATGACCATAAATGCTCTTAGTATTACATTTCAGTATCAAAATGCATATTGTAACAAAGGAGGAATTTAGTTTAGCAGGTTGCCTCCAAAGTTCACTTGTAGTGCATAAATATCGGAGAAGGCAGCACTGCACATTTTATGAGGCTAAGTCAAAAAACATTGCTATAAAATCAGAGAAACCTTTATTACACAAAAATAGAGAAATGTAAACCTTATCACTTCTTGAAAAATCCTCCATCTCGCTCTAAACACTTTTAAAGAGGTTAATTTTATCGCTCTAACCCCTCTCCAAAGAATTCTACACTCTTTGGTTTACATCACATCATAAGGGCAAATCATGTTCCTTTCAATGTTTGTTTTTTTAACTTTGGGAACAAAAAGAAGTCTGAATGCAAGGTCAAGGTTATAGGACAGATGGGGTAGTTCCCCAGAGAAATTATCCTGGGACAACCCTTGCTATCCTTGAAGTGAGCAAATACACTGTCATGATGCAAACAAGCCACAGGACAACTTCCTGGCCTTCCTAGTGTTCCACTGTCTAAAAACTTTCTACAAGGCCCCCATGATTGACCTGTAAGACAAGTGTTTATTGGGGGAAGGTAAAGATAACATTCTAGAAGAGCAGTTCTCAACCTGTGGGTCGCAACCCCTTTGGGGGCCAAACGACCCTTTCACAGGGGTTGCCCTATTCATAACAGTGGCAAAATTAGTTAGGAAGTAGCAACGAAAATATTTTTATGGTTAGGGGGTCACCACAACATGAGAAAGTATTAAAGGGCCGCGGCATTAGGAAGGTTGAGAACCACTGTCCTAGAAGGAGAGAGGCCCCCCAAAAGGTGGGAGAGTAAACTAGGGCAAGCTATTGGGATGTTTAAAAATTTGTTTTAAGTTGTTGAATGCAAAAATGATGATCTGATATATAAATCCCACCTAATTCACAATAAAAACATGGACATATACTTAGATGACCCCTTTGTGATCCTTATCAATAGTCACCATCATCTTCTGAGCTGATCTCTGCCTTGAGCTTGACTGGCTTGGTAGGCCCTCTGTGAAGCAACTGTTCGGATTGAACCTTGCTCTCTGGTTCTTACTAGTAAGCCCAAGAATTAATGGTTATGACTCATTCCATAAAACCATCATTAGCTTTGATCTTGCTTAAAAGAGTGATGAAAAGATCAGTTTCTCTGAGTTATCTTATCATCACACTTTTGTTTACAATACCGTTTTGAAGGCAGCCTACCAAGAGTAAGACAAGTATATTACTGAGAGAACGAGTGTACAACCACCCACTGATCACAAGAGGCATGTTTAATTAAACACATTTGTTTGGAATACACCTATGCAATTATGAAATAGGACCCTAGTAGAATACTTCTTAATTCACCCTTGTGTATTTATGCGCACATGTAAATATGTTTCCTACCATAAATTGAAGTGTCATAATTTCACAACGAATGTAAACTAAGGGCAGTCAGAAGTAAAAGCAACAACTTAGGTCTTTTGACCAAGGTGTTATCAACTTTCTCTGAACTATATTAGCAATTCTATTAGTAAAATTAGAAATTAGGTTAGTAAAACTAGAAATGGACTGCTAAAGTTAAAACTATGTAAATGTCTTCCTAATGATGATTTTAATCAAGTTTCTAATTAATTATCAAGTTCCTCAATGATGACATGATGCTAATCCCATCACAATACCTGATGTTTTGGTGGAGCTCAGTACCACCCAATCTCCTTCTACAGGTGTTATCAATTCAGAAACTGTGCTTTCGTTCATTCCATCAGGGATCTGTCCTTCACTCCACTGGCTGATTTGTTCCAACAAAGGAAAGAGTACATTTAATCCACCTATGCAGTTTATGATGTCCTGAAAAACCAATTACAATGTTTTAATCTTCATATCTTCACTGTTTGTCTGAGACTACAATTAGCTACACCTTAAGACATGTAAGAGAAACCTGATCGTATAATGGGTTATAAGTTAGACTCTAAACCACAATGTCAACAGTTTAAAACTAACACCTGGTCCTCAGGAGAAAGATGGGATTTTCTTCTGCAGTAAAGATTTCCAGTCCCAAGAACCCAAAGAGGCAGTTCTACTCTGTCGTGTAGGGTCACTATGAGTTGGAACAGACTCAATGGCAGTGAAAGAAGTTTTTGAGGGAATGTATACTTGTACTCTAAAATACAGGGCAAAGACATTTAGAAGTGTGATGTCTGGAACAACCTTTCTCTGTCACTTGTATGTTAACAATGGGCAAATAAGCCTCTGGGTCTTAGCTGTACTTTTTATAATATAGAGCTATATATTATGCTACTATATGGTCAAAGAAAAATTTATTTAGCCAGTCCTTTATTGGAGTATTTAAATTATTTCCTATTGTAAATAAAACTACAATAAATACCATAAATACTAGAGTATTAGCCGACTCGAATATCAGCCCATGCACCTAATTTTACCACAAAAACTGCATTAAAAATGTGTTGAAAAAACTCAGCTTATACACGAGTATGTACGGTAATTCGTTTTACGTGGGCAGAATTATCCATAATGATTTCTAGTCACCAAAGGGTAGGGATCTACTTTCCCACACTCTCTCACATTACTTTATCAGCTATTTCAATTTTGTCATTTGACAACTTGTAAAACTATCTCATTTGTTTTCATTTGAATTTATTTGTAAGTTGTTGGGAATTTTATAAAAATGTTTATCAGTCATTTTGGCTTCCTTTTCTGTATACATATTATTTGTCTATTATTCATACTGAATTTTAGAAGCTCTGTGTATACTACAATAATTAGGGAAGATAATGTCAATGCTCCCTACCACCACCACCCTGAGTTGTCATTTAACTTTTTGTTTTTGATTTAGCTGTAATATAAAAATACAGTTCTCTTTTTCTGGCAATTCTGTTCCTTTTTGACTTCCACATACGGCAAAAGTCTAAGGAGTTAACAATCCATGTATCTGTAGCACCACAGACTCTGGTTTTCCGGTGCAGCACATGACACAAAAGATCAGCCATCTACAGGCAAGTACAATAGTGGTCTTACCAATCTTGCATGTGACAGCAAAATTTATCATGTATTTTCAATCATTTTATAAATCGTATTATGTTAACAGGTAAGAATAAGTGATCCTATCTCAAAGTTAAAAAGAAAAATACTTCAATCATATGAATAACATGAGATTAGCACTACTTGATTAGCGTAAGTACTCGAGTATAAGCCGACCCGAATTTCAGCCCAGGCACTTAATTTTACCACAAAAACTGCATTTAAAATGTGTTGGGAAAAAACTCAGCTTATACACGAGTATATATGGTAATTCATTTTACATGAGCAGAATTATCAAGAATGATTTCTATCTCACTGAAAGAATAAGTATATTTGACTGGTTGCCGAGTAGCAGATTAAACTGTTTCATTTTTTACCAAGTTTTACATTTCTGCTTATTTCACTTAAACTATAATTTCTATTAAAGGTACCTGCTAAGGGTGGTAGACAACAATATTCTGATCAATCGGGTGGTACTTAAAAAAATAAACTCTCTAACAGAATTAGTAAGCCTATATTATATGATGCCCATCAATTAAAACAATTTACCTTAATGTCCCAGTTCACTACTTTGTTTCCTGTTAACCTTCCATGCAAACAATTAGCAGATAAATCTAGACAGATTGGATTTTTGCAGGCCTAAAAATAAAGAAAAGTATAGCACATAGGTTAAGTGCAATTAGGGCAAAATATAACTTTAACCATATACAAAACATTTCATCCTGAATTTTAAATGTATACTGTACAGTCAATAAGGTGTCCACTTTATGAATTTTTGTATTCATATAATCTGTCTCTTAAAAGAAAGAATAAGGAAATATACTCTAAAGCACTCAATCATCAAAGCCAGGTCACTGATGTTTGCCAGAATGAGCTAAAGTGGAATTTACTATTTGGCAATCACATTGTTTTAAATTTTTTCTCTTTTAAAACACTAGATGCAAACACATTTTCTTAATTCAGTGTTTTATTTCAATTAGTACTTCCCCATGCACAACTTCAAAGTACATATAAAATGTATGACTAAGAGATGAGACATAAAAGTTACAGAATAGAAAAGCTTATCAAAACATGAAAATCCAATCATAGGGCCTAAAACATTATTTTCCCTCATGTTACTGACAAACATTTCTGGTTATATTCAGGTAAGAGCTCTCGGTCTTCATCTCTAACAAGTCATCTGGCTTGTAAATCATGCACTGTCACATTCCATCTATATGTTCCAAGTAACCAAGCACCCTTGAATCTTACAACCACTCCAAAGGAAAATTAATATTCTACAAATTTTAGCACGCCAGCAGGTATATGCAGCTGTTGCTTCATCTCAAAGTAGAGAAAATTTGCCGTAACTTAAAGAAAAATATCCTCATTTAATTCAACGTGAGTTATCAGTCTCAGGGCACACAAACGTGATTCTACTATAACTAGATGAGTTTACAGACTGTGTACCCAAGGCCCGTCCTAACTCATCACCACCCCTAGCCTCTCATCCCTCTATTTTATTTCACAATGCTCATTGATATCTTTTCCTAAAATATAAACCTGATGATAGCACTTGTGTTTATATCCTATTCACTTGTGAAAACCCTACTCACTGCCTATTTAGCTAGGATTAAAGAGGTACTATGATCTTGCCTGTACTTTCCCCCTAATCTCATCCTGCTACACTCTCCTCCTGCTCAGTAGCCAGTACCAACATACATAGGACCCAGGTTTATAGCCTATGCCTTTGTAGGTCTAGTCACCCTGCTTCATACAAGGTGATATCCCCCCCAAAAAACAGGATTTCTTTTTCAAAGTTATGTATTTAAATATTTTTACAAAGCAACCCTATCACCTTCAAAGTACTCTTCAATAGACTTAAAACATTTGTCAAATATGAGATTCATTCTTGGAAACATTATTCAAACTCATCTATTTGGATGGCTGACAGTACCTCCCCTCCCTTTTTTCTCCACTTCTTCTACATTGTCAAATCACTGTCCTTTAATGCCCCTTTTTATTTGTGGAAACAAAAAGAAGTCATACAGAGCAAAGTCAGATGAGTAAGGTGTGTGGGGCAAGGGAGACATACTGTTCTTTGCCCCAAACTGGCACACTGACATGTCTGCATGAGCAGCTGCATTGTCATGGTGGCAAAGCCAGTCCCGTCAACCACAAATCAGGCCTTTTTTGTCACACAAGTTATGTAATCTTTTCAGAACCTCTAAATAGAAAGCTTGATTAAAAGTTTGCTGGTGGAACAAATTCCAAATGCACTATGAGTCGACATTTTTGTACGTTCAGGAAGTTGACAGATGTCCAGAACATGATTTGTCATCAATCGACATTTCACGTTTTTTTAAACAAGAAAAACCCTTACACACTTGAGTTTTTCCCATAGCGCTGTACTTGTAAGCTGTGTTCAAAATCACAACAGTTTCTGTGGCACTTTTCCCAAACAGGAAACAAAATTTTACAGCCACACGCTGTTCTCTTAAATTGGCCAACATAAAAAACAAGCTTTCAGCAAAACTGCTTTCACAAAAAAATTCACTGTGACCAGAGAGAACCTTCCCAGGCAATGCCTCTGGGTGCACTAACTCAGAGGGAGTTGCTCAATTGTCAAACTAGCAGGAAAAATGAGCACTATGAAAACTCTGCCTAGCGCAGCTTTTTTCCAGTTTTTTTGATAACCCCTCATGTATCCCTCCCAACCTGGCCCTTTAAGTTACAGATCAATCCATCTTTCTTCTAATCTTCTAACCTCCTAGGGCCAATCTGTGTGCTCTCATATTTTATGCAAAACTAAAACACTAAAATATAGTACAATGTTTAAGGTTATGAGTTAAATAGGCTGCATTCTAACTCCTGCACTAGCATTTACCAAAGTCTGAGCCTCAGCCAAGTAACTTCTCTTTAGTGAGTGTCAGTATACTAAAGCTTAGTACATGTAAAACACTCAGTATGGTACTTTAGCAAACTGCTAACATCCAATATATGGTAGATAAAAAGAAAAGCACAAGCCCATAAAACTATTTTATACTTATATGATTATGTAGTATTTGATTTTATACTGTACGCTTAAAGCTTTGTATATTTAAGTTTTGTCCAGTTCCTGGCAGAAATAAAACAAATGGATGACTAGACATCTCTTACAAACGAGAATGAAATGAAAATCTTTTAATAGTTGGTGTTAATATGGTAATGTACAGTATAGTTCCAGAAGGAGAGCAATTAATCTACATTCAACTTTATTAAAGTTAATATCAAGGGGCGGATAGAGCCTAATTCTCCATTTACCCTGAGTGCTTAAAAAGGGGAGTTTTTATACTGTGGAATAAAACCAGGCACAAGGGCAGGTGGCATCATGATACATGGAAAAATGAAAACATAAAAATAAAAGAAGTTTGCAAGCAACATCATTAACTTCAAAAACGAATGGCAATGGGTCAGCAGTTACAGAAGGAAGTACAGTAGCAAAGTAGCCAATAGAAAATGGCTACACTCAGGCTAACGAACACAGTACGGTTACATTGACAAAAGGCTACACTAAACTAATACATTATGGTTACATTGGGGTTAATTGTGGTGAGTTACTAAAATAGTATGAGGCACCCTGGTGGAATAATGGGTTTTGCAAGGTCAGTTGTTCAAAACCACAAGCTTCTCCTTGGGAGAAAAATGAGGCTTTTTACTCCTATAAAGATTAATAGTCTCAGAAACTAATAAGGGAAATTCTACTTTGCCCGAAGGGTCACTATGAATCAACTCAATGACAGTGAGTTTTTGTTTATAGTAAGCACAAATCCAATTTCTTTCTCCTTCTGAAGCCAATATTTCATTTCCACCTCTTCATATCACACATAAACACAAAAAGAGGTTAAGAATAATATAGTCCCAGCTCTTTCATCAGAAAATATAGACTATACAAGATTCATTTACCATAGTCAATTCATTAGTACAAATTCTTGCTAACTTTTATTATTAAAACTCCTAGGAAGAAATAGAGTTACAAGTGGTTGCTTCTGAACCCAAGTCAAAGAAGTGGCTTATTTATTTTCATCCCATCTTCCCTTGAAAACTGTTTTCTTTTTCGACAATTCAAGATCCTCCCTCTCTCAGTAACTGACTGAAATGAGCAAAGGAGCAGGAAAAATGCGTACTTGACAGCACTTACAACTAAAAGCACAATTCACGCATTTCCTCTGACCTTTGGTGTATAGTGCAGGAGGACGTTGCCAGGCAGATCAGTTAAGTCGGGCTCCTGGCAGTTCCATGGGCTTAAACAGTTTGGACCTGAAAATTATTTGGGGACACACACACACACACAACATATATTAGATACAGTGCTGCAGGTTCTATGTATCATAACAATTATAAAAATGAATTTCCAATCCTCATTACAGTCACTAGATACTCAAATATCATACTAAAACATATTGAATAAAATGTACTTTAATTTTAACATCACTAATCCATCTAAAATCGATGAAAGTTATAGGGAGCAGACCCACCTCTACACTAGAAAGTAATTTTTACATAAAATTAAAAAACACACCAATATCAAATATGTTTTTCTATTTATCTATTAGAAACTAATTCAAATTAATAAAATAAATTATGGCAATCAAAAGGTTAACATCATAGAAGTGGAACAGTAAATGACTGATAATGAAATCCTGACTTCATTCAAAGAAACACAAATTAAAGCAGGTTCCAAAGTTGACCAATCCTTCTTACAGAGACCATGGTGAAATGGGTTCACTTATATGTCACTGAAAAGCATGAAGTATGGATATAGCCTTTCCAGAAGCTAATTAACACATAGTGAAACTCATCAAAAGACCCGTACACTTGGAGCATGAACCTGGGGAAATTTTCTAATTAAATTAATGGGGGGGACCCTACTGTACAATTCATCATGTTTAATATTTGAAGTTATCGATATTAAAAAGTATACACCCACCAACTAAATTATGCCTTATGAATCTAGCAAATTATACAGCCTTTGCAAATGATAAAGAGTATAAAACAAATAATTATTATTGATAAAAACAGGAAAAATGGTAAGAACAAAATTCAAAAAGCTTACAGAAAAATTCCTTTATAAATTCCATTTTTCCATGAAATATTTTAAGTCCTTCATACTTTGGTAGGCTTTAAAATTCTACACTTAATCTTAGCCAAAAGGCCGAGAAGGGATGGTAGGTTTCAAAATAATGATGAGGATTTAAAGTAAATTTTGAAAATCTCAACAGCCCCGTTCACCTTAAAGCTCCCATGCAGTATGAAAGGCCAGCAGAACATTCGTGGAAAAATTCCAGTATATTTTCATTTTTCCATTAACTTTTTGAAGCCTCCTTATCTAAGACACTTGACAGATAATGGAATTGTTTCACAAAATTAACATACATACTACTGTAAGGCTTTAGTTCTCAACCTCTTGCTAAAATAGTGAAATCATTTTCACTGGGTTAGGATCCAGCAATGATGACTCCATCACTTCCCTGTCAATCTGGTGAACTGTGGTGGCTCGAGCACTGCTGTCAAGCTGGACGCTACGTCACTGGTATTTCAACAAGCAAAATCACCCAAGGGGCGGGGAAAGGACCTGGAGATCCATTCCTGCAAAACGCGGCCAATGAAAATGGATAGCAGCACATCATCTGATACACTACTCGAAGCTGAGCCCTCTCTTTGGAAGGCACTGAAAATATGAAGGGCACAGAGCTGCATCATTAGCCAACCTTAATGACGTGGATGGAGCAGACCTTCCTTTGCTCCTGTGCCTTTATTCAACAGGGGAAGAAACAATGGCAAATATCCACTAATATTCAAAACTAAAGTATGAATTGAGAATAACTGAAAGTTGTCGGAAATGAAATGGAATGTTTAAAAATTTTATATACTAGTTATGAGTAGAAATTGACTTTCATTGACCATTTTTAAATGGACACTCATATGCTCTATTAGTCTAGGAATAAAAAATTGAACAGAATGGTATAACATTCCTCTTCAAATAGAAAAAGTAAGATCTTTACCATTGTTTCTCAAAGGGGCAATACCACCCCCAAGGTGGGGCCGGGGGCCTGGAATAATCCCGTAAGCAGCAAAAGCATATTCTTACACTTTAACCTGGATCATGTGCTTTAAGTACCAAAGATTTTAATTGCTGCGATGGCCGGAGGGTGGTGTGTGTGTGTGTGTGTGTGTGTGTGTGTGTGTGTGTGTGTACGTACACGTGGAGTAATTTCGTTTACAAAAAGAGGGCAGGTAAGTTTGAGACTCGGTATCTATACTGAAGTAAAATAGTCAGTGACTGGATAATATCTACATGTCTATAGAGAAGACCAGTTATTGAGACTAATATTCAAATTTACTCATAATTAAAGATAAAGATTAAGAAATTCAACATATTTTAAAACTTTCTACAGTCTGAAATTGATCAAGGATGCAATCACATTGCATTCATAATTATATGTGATTACAAAGTGTAAGCTGGAAACAGAAGGATCAGTAACTGGATACTATAGATTAGACACAGAAGCAACATCAGAGACTGCATTACAGAATCTCTGGAAATATCTTCTTTTTTTTTTTGGAAATATCTCTTTGTAACAACATAAATGGCTACCATTCACAGGAATCACATGAAAGAAATCAAATCACTACATTTGTATGGAGAGCACAACAAAGCTCTACATTCTACATCATCGGTCAGTAAAAGGTCGGGGTGGGGGGTGGGGGTGGGGGAGTCCTGACTGGAACAGATCACCAAATGCTCATGTGCAAATTCACGCTGAGTTGAAGAAAACTCAAACCAGTACAAGAGAATAAAGCTATGAGCTTGAGTAGACTCCATTTGGGTCTAGAGGCTGTCTCAAGACCAGACTGGACAAAATGGACACTAACGAGCAGAGGTGTGAGATGGCATCAAGGGCAGCAAACATGAAGAAAGCAAAAGGTCATGAAAAAGACAAGACAGAAATGTATTATCAGAATACACTCTGAAGACAGTTGTTGAATGTACAGTAGCTAAAATGAAAATAAGAAATAATGAAGTAAAAGCCGAATAAATTTCTAAGGGTGGCTTAAGAATACAAAGCATTATAATGAAATATAAAAAGACCAAGAGTTAGAAAACCAAAGGAGAAGACGCTTCACAATACTATAGATTAAACTTAAAAAACCGAAGAAAAAAAAATTTGAAGCCTCGAGTTGCATACAAAAGGGTACTATGGACAAAATATTCAATCATATGCATGAGAAAACTGTACAATGAATAATGAAGAATTGATGCCTCTGAATTATGGTGTTGGTGAGGAATATTAAATGTATCACACACTACAAAAGAATGAACATAGAACAAGTACAGCCAAAATGTTCCTTAGACCTAAGGTCGGCAAGACTTTGTCTCCGTTTACTTTGGACATGTTAGCAACAGAGTCAGGGAGTAAGATGGTATGTTCGCTAAAGTGGAGGGTCAGTGATAAAAGAAAGACCGGCAACAAGATGAACTGACACCATGCTGGCAACAACAGACTCAGATAGCAGTAAAGGTGAGCATGGAGCATGCCGGGGCCGTGCTCTGGTCTGTTATCTATAGGCATGGTGGCTGTATGTCTGAATCGACATGCTGAGTCTATTCTTGAAGTATCTTTCATGATACTGTCACATGACAACAACCATGAATGACCATAGTCTATGTCTTTAGAAGCATCAAAAGGAAACATAATATATAATTTCATCCAAGGGATTCTAATTCTACTAGCCTCATTAATTTCTCAGGTGTATCAAAATATTGGTTATAAAAATGACAAATTTTGAAAAAACATTCAGTTTTGTGTTTCCTCCACGATTTCTTATGAAGACAGGCCTATATTGTTTTCAGAAATTTATTAAAATTGGTCAAAAGCACTGGCAGTATCATTAAAGATACTTGAAGAACATCCTTTTACAAAATAAATATGTATATTACTTCTGTTATGCATTAAAAAAAGTATGGTATTTGGTGTGCTTTTTCCCTTCTTTTTGGTTTCAATGAAACTAAATACCTTATTCAGATCACAAATATGCTTCAGATGATATAGGCAAATCCTGCTCTGCACAACAGAAAAAAATCATATTTAAATCTGATTAAACTGTGTGACCTTTCATGCTTACCTGCTAAATACAATGCCTTCACCTGAGCAGGCTGTAGTGCTTCATAGAAGATGATAACAGAGCCCAGCTGACCCTCTAGAGAAGTAGGGCATCCCCATTCACTGTCTTGGGTCCCAGCTGATATCAATTTGGTAACCAGTTTAGATTTTTCACTGGTACCTCCCCAGGAGGTTGATGCAAGGATTCCACCAAACGAAGTCCGATGAGGTATAATAGGGGAAGAAAAGGGTGGATCTGGGATTTGGGATGGTGGAGGAGTTGTGGTTCTCTGCCCAGCAGAGCCAATGCAACAGGAGGTAAAAGGCTAAAAATTAAGAAAAGAAAATTTAATTTAAAGTCCACCCTATTTAAAATGTAATTTTCATAAAATAAAGCAAATGCACTGAAAATAAAATTGGAAGTAATTTTACTTTTCCTGAATCATGATGTGTCATATGTGTACACACATAAAAAATCATTACAGAAGTTACTTTTGGCGAGGTGATTTATTAAAATTTGTAACGTTAATGACTCACTTTTCTTGCAAATATTGAATTTTTCAATGAATATATATTTAGAACATTTTCTTAAAACATTATTCTAAAATAAGGAAAACCATATTTTTCCTTAAAGTTTGTAAACTGAGATATATACACAGCTGTATAAAAATTTTCATTAAAATGGTGATCAAGACAAATAAAAAGAAATTAACAGAATAATAGAACTACATAAAACATCTAATCCATTCCTATAACGGGAAAAAAAGGTCATCCCAAAATTACCTGAAAGCTTAACCCAAAACGTTTACACTAATGATTAAGCACTTCTACAAAGTCCCCGGTGGCAGAGGTTGGCCTTTGGAACATACCCAGAGGCACCTAGGAAGTCAGGCTGGGTAGCTCTGTGCTTCTGAAAGGACACAACCTTAAAAACCCGATGTAAGCACAGAATCAACTGGACAGGAACTACAACACAGCCTATATGCAGTGTGAAGAGTTTACATTTCTTTGTTACTGTTTGACATAGAGTTTAAATGGAGAAGAGCCCATCGTAATACTCTTGAAGTACTTTGTGTTCTTCAAGAGAATTTGAGTTAGTAGTCCTATTAAATATTGTTGGCTTTACTATTATAAATTTTTTCTGCAAGCCCTTAGGTCCTCTGGTTTTTCTATATTACATAATGTCTAATTCCATCTAACGATGACATGTTTCAATATATAGACACCTCTTAAAATTTTACATGTATATATTTTGGACAAACAATAATCTTTCACAATGAACTGACAACTTTAGAAGTTCTGAATAAGCTGGGTCTGTAAAGAAGCTCAAGTGTGCTTACTTCATTCATGGCAGGAAATCGGAGAGGGGCAGAGACCTTCTGTTGTCCGTTGTCGTAGATATAGACGAGGCTCTGACCAAAGGGCCTTTTCCCAGGCATATGCACAATGGTTATGTTGTGCTGTGAAGTAAAACATACATTTAAAAAGCTAACATTACATTTTATCTGTGAGAGTGACAGATATTTTCAGAGTATTACTCTACCAATTTGTGTGAACAGAACATTAAGACTAAATATAGCTTACTGCTGAATAAAATGATGATCTCAAACCAAGTAAGGGTTTTTTTTCCTGTAGTAATAGAAAAGCATGTCAACCAATTCCTGAAAATTGGCACACAATAATAAAATAGTAAATTTTCTAAATTTTCCAAGTCTCTGAGTATCTATTAAATATTGTTGGCTTTACTACTATAAATCTTTTCCCCAAGAAAAACACCCATTTTTCTAAGGAGAAGAATTTTATATTTTAAGAAATGGTACAGAAGTATTGGTTTTTAACAAACTTTGTTCTTGTTTTAAATTGAAACTCACTCTTCAATTTGAAGAAAAACTTGAAAGACATCATAACACTCCCACGTGTCATGATCAGTGATGGTAATGGTAAATGGGATTAACCTCATTATGGATAATGAATAGAATTTTAAGGGAAAAATTAAGCAACTCTCACAAAGCAGATGGCAACTCCTGAGGTACATGCACCTGGTTGTGTATCTGTTACGGGCAGAATGGAGGCGTTCACAATAACATCCAAAAGCCTTACCCACAGGGAATCACAGAAACTGTGGTCCGGGAGCATAACCGTGGTGTACTCTCTTTTGGTGCACACTGCCACAACCAGCATACCCGCGTGGGTAATGAAAGCTTCAAAACCTATACCACTTCCTGTAAAAAAACTAATAATACATGTAATATGAGGACTTTTGAAGTGCAGTGCTCTACTTCAAGGTCACTGAACCACACAAAACCGTAACACCATCACACCCTGGTCAACAATCCCATAGTTTACAGTCTACTCCTACACAGCAGTGCAATCACGTTTCAAAGAGATTTCTAAAATCCTCTTGGGGATAAGAATCTAACAAACTAGAAAAGATAGCTTTATGAGTGGGAATTCTAAGAGTAAACCACAGTAAAACTATAAATTTTCAAATCTTTAGATTTCTCCAAATTATATGTAGTATTAAGAAATCATAAGGCATATTAAAAATGATTAAACTTTAAAAACATATACATAGGTTTGCTGGTCTTTCATATAAACATATATAACACATTCAAGAAACAGCTATCTTTTTCAAGTTTATTATTCCTTCTTTCTCATTTCATATCACTTTTAGGAAGTAACTCTGTTTCCAAACTAGCCTAAGGGCTTAACTAGCAACATTTCAGAGATGTGATTATTACTTTGAAAGCAGTAAAGCATTTAAAAAGGAGAGACCAGATATTATTACACATTTAAGACCTAAATGTGTAGAAAACCCTATTACTGTCGAAGAAGCACGGTATATTTTGCTACAACAGAATGCACTTACAATCCATGTACCAGTACCTGTATAGTTGCTTTCTTTTTCCTCCTTTATTAGCAAGGCTGGGAGTCAACAACTGGTCCTGATCTAAGCAAAACCAAGCATTGAAAGAAAAGGCAGAGCCTGGCCATTTCTGTATGGACGGCACAGAAATTCCTGCCATACTATGTGACAAATTAAAATACTGCAGTGCACTCTCAAGGCTTTGTTTCCGGGCCATCATCAAGATTGCTCGAGTCACAGGAATGGTGTACGGGTGAATACACTTAGATTCATCCAATCGTAGTAGTCTTAGTAGCTGATGGATCTCTTCTGAGCTCACTGACTGACTCCCCAAGGAACCATGGAGGGCAATCAAGTTCTCAGCACAAGCTCGATGGAGGGAAGAATGGGAATCAAGGGCTGCAATAATCCGACTTCCCATGTTTGCATTCACACAAGTAGTTCGACTCTGCCTATTAATACAACAAATTCTTTTCAGCCAATCAGAAATGAAGATTTGCAGGTCATGGGACTCTAGCTCTGGAAGCCATTGGATAAGAAGCAAGAGGGGCTGGACGTTACTTATGCCCAAAATTCCAACTGAAGTGTGGTCACCCTCGACAGCCTAGAAAACATGATAAAAGTATGTTACCATTTTGATGGAGAGATACTTGGTCACAGAACTCTTCTTAAAAATCTGAACAACTCACCATGTTCATGAGTTCTTTGAGCAGTTCCAGTGGTGGCTGACCCAGGGATTTTAATACCTCAAACATGTGTGTATAACCAATTCTTTCTTTAAAAACTTCCTAAGGGAAGGTGGAAAAGAAAATAACATTATCAAAACACATTTTTAAAGACTGAATTTGCTGAAAGACTAAATGTATTAACATGAGGACCAAGATCTTTGAATTCAATACTTCTGTTTTCCTAAGTTACATATTCATCTTAAAATATATTCCTGTATCTTCTGGAATGCAAAGCTAAAATTACATTACAAAGTGTAAAATGAAGGAAATTAGTAATCATTGTGTACTACAAAATTATTGTATCTTTGCAAATTAGAGCAAGAGTTACTCTCCCATTTGATTTGTATAAGAGTATTAGGTGAGGGTAAAGCAAAGAATGAGGTGCAGTGTAAATGAAAGACTTTGGGGAAACAAAAGACAGGCAGCAAACCCAAAGGACTAAGGCAACCCCAAGGAATGCAGACAATCATGAGTACTGGACAGGAAAAAGAGGGGGGCAAAGAACTAGTGGTGGTGGTTCTCGCTTTTTGTATCTTAAAATGTCTGAAATATTGAGGTCAAGTTCATTTTGGTTGCATGAACTGGTGAACCCGTTGACACAAAAAGACATAAATTACAATGTAATGACAACCAAAAATCCTAGCACACATTAAACTTGGTCCCTTCATGTAGGCAGTAATGCTTTCTCACTATAAAATCAGAAGATTTGAGCAAGACTAGAAAAATTGGTTGTCTCTGGGCAAGAGCAGAGAGAAAACTTTTTCCAAAAGGTATCTTTGTATATAACCTTTTGAATTTTAACTCATGCAGTAGTATTACACTAAAAATCATTATCTCAAAAGCCCTGGAGCAGCATCTTAAGATTACTATAAGAAGCCCATCATAATCATGAACCAGTTACTGAGAATTTAAAATAACTTATTTTCTATATAGACTTATAAATTTTAAAAAAGATAAACTTATAAATCAAGATTATATCCCCAAGCTAGTCAGCAAAAGTTGTAAAAGTTTATTTAGTAGAGACTTAACCACAAATCATAGCAACATCTTTGGAGAAAAAGTTATAGAGTTTCCTAACACAAATCAATACAATTATTTTCTGGTATCAGAAGTGAAGAATAAAGCATACTAGAGGTGATGGATACAAGGTAAAGTGGTAAAACAGTCACTAACATTTTGTGAGCACTTACTTTCTGCATGGTATTCTACATAGATGATTTCACTAATCCCTAGAACTATTCGGTGAAATCACCACTAGCATAAATCAGCATAGCTGGGCATCAGCATAGAGTGAGTAGTGAGTGAGAAGGAAAAGGAAATCCTGCCAGCTAAGGACTTCAAGTAAAAAAGAACAATTCCCATGGCTTCATGTGCTGGAAAAGCAGGTTCCAATTTGATAGTCCTATTTATAAAAACATATTCTAAGGAGGCATAAACTAACTGGTGAAAGAAGAGTACTTATTTCACTAGTGAAGAAAAACAACATAAAAACCTAATTCTTTAAACTCACTATTCATAGAATCACTTAAAAGAATCATTTCAACACCAGTGCTATACTTCCATTCTTTGAGCAAAAACCGACATCTCTTAGTTTACAGATCAGTCATCTAAGTCTTTAAAAATCCAAAAGCAGAGTGCACAGGGGTCTTGTCTTAGCAATGATAATGAAAGACCAGGCTTACTATGCAGACAGACTAGTGGAATTCTCGACACTATGGTGCTCTCCCTTTGTGTCTGGAAACGAACTCACCTGCATGGCTCAGTTTTTAGGTAAATAATAGACAAATCTATAAAGAGAATAACGATTAGGCAATCACACACCTTAGAGTAATAAACCATTTCAGTTCATGGGCAATAGTTACCCAGGGCAAAGTTCAGAAGGGTTAGAAAGAGAGGATAAATGGAAACAGAAAACACAGAGAAGAAATGGGAACTATCATGTTACATTGTGGAGATAGTTAGCAATCGATGACATGAAACAAAATGTGTACAAATTATTGAGGGGAAAACTGCTCTGCAAACCACCCAGCTCACAAAAATTTTAAAAATTATAAAAATTATTCTTATACTAAGATGAATTATTCATTCAAGGTGTAAAACCATGTGTATACACTCTTACATTGCTTTGAGATTACTAGTGTGGTAGATATATAATTGTTTGTCAATTTGAGGTTTAAGAGTGTAGGGGTGGAGTCTAGCTTGTCAATCAGATCATAGCCAATGAGGTCTCTGTGTGGACATGGCCTTCTCCTGAGGATTCTGGGAAATCCGTACTTCCTCCTTGGAGGTAGGAGACTCCTTGCTCACACCCTGGGAGACATAGTAGCTGACAGGACACATGGACCCATCCTAATGCAGAGACCCCTGCCAGAGCTGAGATGTTTCCGATGACGCTGGATCCAAAGACTTTCTACCCACTGGCCTGTGATCTTCTACATTCAGCGTCATTGCATGTGTTTCGTGAGTGTGAAGGGGACTTTATAGATCGGTATCGGACATATGGGCTAATACTGGACTTATGGACATGATCTGGACTGGGCTGGGATGTTTTCTCAATGTTCAATTGCTCTTGCATATAAATCTCTTTCTTATACACATATGTGTGTGTGTCAATGGATTTGTTACTCTAGTCTACCCAGATTAACATGGTTAGTGAAAACTGGTACATGTCATTGAAGTTGACTGTTAAGCCTGGAGATGTGTCTTTCACCTTAGCAGCTGGAGATTTATTCATCACTGCTGTCAAAGCCTGAATGGTTGATACAGCCAAACAATCCAACTGCCCCTGAAACACCTAGTGGGAGAAAAAAGGTGAGAAATTAAGAACTGTGTTCAAGATTCTTAACCAGTTAAGAAAAGTAAACTTCTGTTTAGAAAACCTGAAAAGATAAGTCCTTAACGTGCATTACATTTCTCTGACAACAAAATGGATTTCGGAAACACTATAACCTAAAGGAAAAGCTACTCATGGAACAAAAAAATAAGCCAATGTCAAAAAGGATAAAAGCTGGGTTCACTCATTATATTAAAATATCTTCAAAAATAAACAAGCTTAATACATGCTTTTTTAAAATAATGGACAATCTCAAGAGGAAGGGAGGAAAATCTATCATGAAAAAATCGGTTATATATTAATTTCCCTTGAAAACTGTATTTGAAAATGTTGAACATTAAGTTTCACTTTAAAAAACTTACTGCCTGATCCCAATTCTACCTTACAAATTTGGCTGGACCGGCGGATGTTCACTGGCACAGATAGGAACTGGAAACACAGGGAATCCAGGACAGATGAACCCCTCAGGGCCAATGGTGAGAGTGGTGATACCAGGAGGGTGGAGGAAAGGTAAGAGAGAAAGGTTGAACATATTCCAAGGATCTCCACATAACCTCCTCCTTCGGGGACGGACAACAGAGAAGTGGGTGAAGGGAGATGTTGGATGGTGTAAGATATGACAAAATAATAATAATTTATAAATTATCAAGGATTCATGGGGGAGGGGCAAGAGGGGGGAAATCAGGAGCTGATACCAAGGGCTCAAGTAGAAAGCAAATGTTTTGAGAATAAGGGAAACAAATGTACAAAAATGTTTGACACAATAGATGTGTGTGGATTGTGATGAGTTGTACAAGCCCCCAATAAAATGATTTCATTATTTTAAAAAAAGCTTACTACCATCAAGTGTATGCCGACTCATAATGACTAGAGGACAGGGTAGAACTGCCCCTGTTGAGTTTCTGAAACTGTAAATCTTTACAGGAATAGAAAGCCCTGTGTTTCTCCCAAGGAACAGTTGGTAGTTTCAAACAGTGGCTCTTTCAGAAGTAGCCCAATACATAACCACAATGCCATCAGGGTGGTTAAGCATTGGGCTGCTAATTCCAAGATCAGCAGTTCAAAACCATCACCCATTCCTTGGAAAAAAGGGCTTTCTACTCCCATAAAGAGTTAAGTCTTGGAAATGGAGCAGGTTCAGTTCTACTCTGTCCTATATGGTCACTGTAAGTCAGCATCGAGATATCAGTGAGTATTTGAGGTTTCACTGGCATGTATAATAACCCCAAACTAAATCCACCATTTAAAAAAGGAAAAAAAAAAGCAACCTAGCTCCACTTTGTCTCATGTTGCTTAAGCATCACTCTAAAGAGATGTGGACTAAAATTCAGGGCAATGTGTTTACAGCAATTTGAAATAAATAAAAATAACACCAACAATATAAAAATACTGAGATTGCCAATTATGTCAAACTTGATCAGCCACAAAACACAGCATTAGGTCTAGAAAGTTATTAAAAATAAAATTCTTACCATCTGCTTTCAGGAGTATATTATTATAACTTGAAAGTAAATCACTCCACAAACAGGGATTCCCACTCCCTCTCACCAGAAAAGAGCTGGAGTAAAGCAGGGGCAGCTTAGATCTTTCTGAGGTGTTTTAACTAAACTGCATCAGACTACAATGGGGTCTGCTGGAGTTGTGGGCTCGGTGTGAGACTGCTAACCACAAGGTCTGTGGTTAAAGCCAACAGCTGCTCCAACAGAGGAAAATGAGGCCGTCTGCTCCCAAAAAGACTTAAAGCCTCAGGAAAAGCAATATAGGATAATGGAGTGGGAATCAACTCAATGGGAGAGTTTGGGTTTGGGGCATGGATCGCAGTTAGACAACTTATTTAACCACAAGAGCATCTTGTTTTGTCAATATTATTTGTTTGATGAGCATTATTATGTACACATTAAAGATGTAAGAAACATACAATATGCATTAAAGATCCTGCATGATGCAGAATTTCCTGTAACTACCATCCATCTCAGACTTTATGCAAGACATGCATCAGAGTATCTAAAAGTTCTAATTTCAAATTCTAACATAAACTTGTAAGTTTTACTAATGTATGTTAAAAAAAGTGTTTTAGAGAAGTACTCTATAACTGCTTTTCACATATGAAACGTAAAACAATAAACTAGCATATCTCTTTTTATATCCCAGCTTTATTTATAAACTTGGACATTAAGATAATGTTAATCAAAGACATCAATTTACACTCTCTCTAAAGTTTTGGGAAAAGAAAAATAAGGAAGCACACTTTTATATGTACTTTCATTGTTTGCTTTTTCCTCAAATCAAATAGCCTAAGTGAAAAGCAATATAAGTGTTTTTAAGGGAAAAAAAATTATGCTAAATTAAGACTCAAAGAGCTTGACATCTTCTTCCCTTCCTCCAAGATATGAGCTGTCCATTGAATTATAATTATCACTTGTCAACAAGCAAAGAATTAAGATATTAAAATTTATCATACAATGTTCACAAACAAAGCCCTAAGATCCCAATACACCACAGTGCTTAGAAAAGGAGGCTCCCCAATTTTGATTTCATCACCAGGTGGGCAGCATTGATAATGAGATCCCATTCCTGTACTTTTCATCTCCTTCAAACAAAAGAGAACATCCATACACCTGTGTATACATAAGATGGAAGTCATCTATGGCAACCATCAAAATTTCAATCTATTTATCTTTTAGATCAGCAGTTCTCAACCTGTGGGTTGTGATCCCTTTGGTGGTCAAATGACCCTTCACAGGGATTGCCTAAGACCATCTTTTTGATGGTCTTAGGAACCAACACACCGCTCTTCTATCTGTCTCCAGGTGGGTCCAATCACATGCAGATATACCCACATACGGGGTCACCACAACATGAGGAAGTGTATTAAAGGGTGGGGAGATTAGAAGGGTTGAGAACCACTGTTTTAGATTAAAGTAAACTTTAATTTTCAAAATAATTGATGAGGATTCTCTATTTCCTATTCTGCCAAATTAATTCCAACTCATTTAGAACTGGATCATGATCTTGTGTTTTAAAACACAAGGAAAAAGTACAGGAACAGTTATTGCCATAGACTGATTCTGGGACTTCAGCTGAAACAAGATGCAGGCTTTGCAGATACCTTGTCCTCATTCATTTCTGTCAGTAATTTGTTGGCAAGGTCTTTCTCGTTCTTGTCTGCCACCTTATTGTTAGCATTTAAAAATAGCTGTTAAAAACAGAGATAAGAATAATGGGCAAAGAACATTAAATTATTACCAACTGGTGGAGATGATATGTACGTGGATTTCCATCTCTCTTGAAAAGAAATCCAAAGACCCCCTTGTGAAGTATAACCACTCTCAGAAATCAACAATTATTAGATTTGAATTACAAACTAATAATTATTATGGTTAATAAATTAGCATGATGAATATAGGTCTCTTAGAACTCAAACATACAGGAATAAAAAACAGAAGCAGTAATTAGATAAGTTAGTTTTCCTAAATTATTCAAGAACTGACAGAGAGATTGCCTCAGAGAAAAGAAGGATGCTTGCTATTGAGACAGACTAGAGTCTGCTGAAAAACAAAACAAAAAAGCAGGTTCTGTAGTCAGGCAAGTGTTTCTAAAACAACTTTAAAGGGGTGGCTGGTTCTTTCTGGAAGTATATCTCTGAGTCTCATTAACACTAGCATAGGCTTTGACAAGTCAGTGTTCATTGCCCAAATTTTTCTCACCACTCACTGTGTTACAAGACTATAACAGTACTCTCCAAAGTCATCAATAGTTAAACTTTGTCTTTATAGTTTGTATTAAACTAATGGGTATCATTCTCAGATGGCATAGAGAATAACAAGTGTTCCAAATACATAAAACTCAAAATAAAAATGTAATTAAATGAGAATAAAAGGGAGAACCACCTAACATTTATAAAAGAACTTACCAGGAGCATGGGGAAAAGACAATGCTCTCTACTCCCCTAAAGAGTCTTGGAAACCCACAGGGGCAATTCTACCCTGTCCTATAGTCTATATCCTATAGTATACAGTGTCATTATAAGTTGGAAGTAACTTGATAGCAGTGAGTTTGGTCTTGATATCATGAGCATACTACAAAGAACATTCCGCTGAGGAATTTTGTCCATTTAGAAAGGAACAGAAATTTAATGAGTAGCTGAAAGAAAATAACTGGATAGAGGTCTGGTACTATATGGTTTTCAAGAGCATATATAAAGCTTAACACAGCTACAGATTAGTATGCACAATACAGACTTTAGAAGCACAGACTGTTTCCTTGTCACTAGCAACATGGTAGGTTTTTGTTCTTTTTTTTTTCCCCTTCGCATTAAATTCAAATATCTGTGTACTTAAAAAGCAACATTTACATTATTTTAATTATATCATATCTCCCCTCCAAAATGCAGTAGAGCGAAAGAAAATTGGTGCTAATGATTTACAATCATTAAAAGATAAATGCATTATTCTATGTAATTACATTTTAAGTGTTTTATTGTATAATGAAATTAATTTTAACAAGTCCAGAAACCTTCATATAAATACTTAAGGAAATTAATGCTCACTTAATTAAACCATTTCATAAATCTCATATAAAAAGAAAAGTGAAAACTACAAGTCTAAAGTCTTCCGTATGATTCATAAAGTGGGTATGATATTTTAAGCTTTAGCTAACAAGATTTCCAATAGGTCTGCTTAAATATCAAAGTTGCCTCCATCTTACATAACCATATAAATGACTCATTCCTTACTAACAAAAAGCAACAAATAAACAAACAAAACACACACAACACACACACACAAAAGCAACAAACAAAGCAATAAAGCATCTGTAACACCTCATGCAAAACGATGTTCTCTAATCTTGAAAGTTTTCAAAAGGTCTTCAAACACATATTGAGGAATCATATCAAACTATCGCCCTCAAATTTATTTGAACGTCAATTTTCCTGTAATTTTTCCTATATTTAGTGCACAGAAAAGAGTTTTCTTCTGATTAAATAGTGATCTTAAAAGTTTTGTAACTTAATTATACAACAACACATTACAGCAGACTCATGGTCAGGAAATCTGGGTAAGAAATCCTAGCTCTACATGTACTAGTACTGATCCTGAGCTAATCACTTAATCTCTTAAGATTAAGACATTTTCCTCATTTGCTCAATGAAGGAATTGATAAGTATATTTCAACGGTTCCCACTTAATAATCCTAATGTGTGGTGTTATGGTAGTTACATAGTCTGGTGTCAATCTCAAGATTAAGAGTGTAGAGGTGGTCTAGCCTGTCATTCAGAATATAGCCAATGAGGCTTCTGTGTGGCATGGCCTTCCCCTGAGGATTCTGGAAACTCCAGTCATTTTCCTCCTTGGAGGCGAGAGACATTCTCCCTGCTCACTCCCTGCAGAACATCCCTGAGAAGCCACAAGGACTTACCCTGATGTAGCCAGAGCCCTGGACCTGGAGAACCCACGTGGAGACTCCTGCTAGTACTGAGATGTTTGTATCACCACTGGATCCACAAGACTTCCCACCCAATTGCCTGTGATCTTCTTGCATTTGATGTCATTGCATGTTTTTTGTGAGTCTAAAGAGGACTTTATAGATTGGTATCGGACATATGGGCTAATATCGAACTTATGGACTTGATCTGGACTGGGCTGTTTTCTCAGTATTCAACTGCTCTTGTATATAAAGCTCTTTCTTATACACATGTGCATCTCTCTAGATTTGTTTCTCTATTCCACCCAGACTAACACAGATGTTAAGTCTACAATGGTTCAGAGGTACCTGACATAAAAACTAACATTGCCAGCAAGGAAAACTTGAATTACTTAGCTTAACTTTTCCTCTTAAAATGGATTTTCTCTAGAATTTCCTATTATTCTGTTGAAAACAAAATAAATTGTATCAAATAGTTAAAATTTTAAATGCCATAACTGTCAGCACACTCATAGATCTAAATTATAAGAAATGTAGCCATTATGTCTTAGTTTTCTAATGCAGTGATAACAAAATTCCACAAGTGGATGGCTTTGGCAAACAAAGTTATTGTGTTACAGTCTAGGAGGCTGTAATTCTGAATTTAAGGGGACAGTTCTAAGGGAAGACTCTCTCTGTAGGCTCTGGAGGAAGGTCCTTGTCTCCGTTCAACAGCTGTGGGCTCTGTGTGTCCTGGTGCTCTATGGGTCTTGGTCTAGGAAATGCTCAGTGCAAGAACTCCACTCCAAATGACACATTTGCCCTGGGCTCATCTTTGTCAGGTCCCCCACTTCTTTGCTCGCTACTCTTTTTATTTCTTGTGAGAATGTAGGTGATTTAGACCACACCCCAAGGGAAGCCTGCTATATTGGTTTAGGATTATGAGCACCACACCCTAATCTGGCTGATCTCACTAGATCATATCATAATAGATGATTACATCATTACACAACTGCCAAACAACTGCGCATCACAGACCAGTCTGGTTGAAATATATTTTGGAGAGATGCAATCTAATTCATGACACCCTAATCCTGGACTTCTCAAAATCCATATCCTTGCTACATGCACAAACACTGTTACCCCATCATATCATCTCAAAAGTCTTAAATCAACTCCAAGCCTAAATTTCACCTTGGGGTAAAATTCCTTTTCATCTCTGAATCTAGAAAATAAGTTATCTGCTTCAAAAATGCAGTTATGGAAGAAATACAAGATAGGCATTTCAATGACTAGAAAGAAGAGATAAATGGACACTAAGCAAATAGAAAAGCCCTGCAGAACAGTTTACATTAGCTCTCAAGGCTAGAAAATAATTCTCTGTTCTCTGAGACCAATCAATGAGTCTGCCCTCCCAACTCTGGATTTTTGGCAGACTCTGGATTCTGAGTGAAAGCCCTCAGCCTTGGACTTCTGACAACTGCAGAAAGGGTTACGTTGAAACTAGAAAAGTCATGAAGTAACCAGTTGCTTAAGAAACTTTGTCATTCATTCGTGTTATAATATGAATTACAGCTATCAAAAATAAATTAATACAATGTTGTGTTTTATATTTTCATTAAGAGAGATATTTTTATATTAGGAATTACTACCAGCATATTAGGTAAAAAAACAATAATTTTTTAACTAATTTTTTTATGTAGGAGAATATGTTGTCACTATTTGCATTTCAAGATGAACATGTAATATTTTAACAGTGATTCAAAAATTGATCCTAATGGGGTACCTACTATATATTAATTTTTATCTCAATCATGCAAAATGTTAGTTGTTTATAAAAAATATTCAAACAAACATGTAAAAGTATCATTTTGGGCATTATATAAAGCAAAAGTTAAAAACAAAAGCCTTGAAGTAAGATAAAACTAGATTGAAACACTGGCTGTACCCTTTGAATTATCTTAATTTGTAAAGTGGTCACTCTGAGCATAAAATATGTTGTGTCTCCTCACATATGATGCACCGAATACAATGCCTGGCATATAGTAAACCTTCATTCTAGTTGACAGGATTATAGGGTATTCTATTTATTATTACTGAAATGTAGTCAATTAATATGGCTCTTCTTGTCATGATCTTTTTGTGAGAATGTGAAAAGTCTTGCCTCTATGCCTGTGATTATAATCCCACTATAGTAAGAGTTCTCTGTTACAGGATTAAGATGGGAGGAACTCGGAGTCTCCACCAATAGAGAGTCTGACTCAAGTCACCATCTTTTGTTTCCTTGGGGGTATGGTCTGCAGAAAGACAAAAACCATACCTCCATCACAGCCTTCCTTTTTTTGTGAACTTGGCTTTCTGATTGAGTATCAGTAGACCTGCTTTGACTTAATGGCATTTTGGATTCTAGCTCGTGGACCCTGCATTTGACTTGCCTCTGTGTGTTCTTGGAATTTGAGTTGCCGTCAATCACCTTTCCTGATTTCACCAGTTTCCACAGCCTTGTGAAGGAGGAGGGTCCTTTGACCTTCTGGTTTAGGACATAGTAGCACCCAAAACTATGTGAGTCATTTCCTAAAAGCAGCAATTCTCAACCTGCGGGTCGCAACCCTTTGGGAGTCAAATGACCCATTCACAGGGTTAGCCCAATTCATAACAGTAGCAATATCATAGTTACGAAGTAGCAACAAAAATAATTTTATGATTGGGGGGGTCACCACAACATGAGGAACTACATTAAAGGGTCGCGGCATTAGGAAGGTTGAGAACCACTGCCTTAAAGCTTCCTGACTTCTGTGATACAGTACCATTAATCCAGGGACAAGATGGAATATGAGAGGGGTACCCAAAAAAAACAACAACAGAAAAAGCTCCTCTGGGCGTCTTGTTCCCTGTAGGAGAGCATCCAGTAATCGCTGAGTTAGGGCACCCAGGGGCATTGCCTGGGAAGGTTCTTGCTGGTCACCGTAAATTTTTTCGTAAAAGCAGTTTTGCTCGAACTTCCTTTTGATGGCCAATTTAAGAGAACAGTGTGTGGCTGAGAAATTTTGTTTCCTGCTCGAGGAAAATGACACATAGACTGTTGTGATGTTGAACACAGCTTACAATGACAGTGCTATGGGAAAAACTCAAGTGCATGAGAGGTTCTCTCATTTCAAAAAACGTGAAATGTCAATTGATGAAAGACCTCTTTCTGGACTTCTGTGAACTTCCCAAAAGAATAAAAATATCAACAAACTTCGTGCACTTGTGCTTGAAGATGGACTATTGAAGAGATGGGGAAGTTATCTGGCCTATCTTGGAGCTTAGTTCAGCGAATTTTAATGGAAGACTTGGGAATCTAAGGGTTGCTGCAAAATTTGTGCCTCGGGTTTTGACTGACCAGCAGTGTCGACTGGAAACATGCCAATCTTTGAAAGGGCAGCTCCAAAGTGACCCAGACTTTTTTCCCAAGGTCATTACTGGTGACGAAACATGGTACTATGCTTACAACCCCGAAAGCACACATCAATCAAACCAGTGGAAGATGTTATCAGCACCTTGCCCAAAAAAGCTGGTCAAATGAAATCACAAATCAAGACGATGCTCACTTGTTTTTTTGATGTGAGGGGGATAGTGCATATGGAGTTTGTTCTACCAGGTCAGATTGTTAATCAAGCTTTCTATCTAGAGGTTCTGAAAAGATTGCATAAAAGTGTGTGACAAAAAGGGCCTGATTTGTGGCAGATGAGGGCTGGTTTTGCCACCACAACAATGCATCTGTTCATGCAGCCATCTCAGTGTGCCATATTTTGGCAAAAAACAGCATGCCTCTCTTGCCCTACGCTCCTGACCTCTGTGCAACTTCTTTTTATTTCGATGACAGCAGAGGGACACGAAAGGATAGTGATTTGACGATGCAAAAGAGGTTAAGAAAAAAATGAGAGAAGTGTTGTCAGCCAGCCACACAAATGAGTTTGAAAAATGTTTCCACGAATGGGATCATATATTTGACAAATGTATTAAGTGTAATGGAGAGTACTTTGAAGGTGATAAAGTTGTTTTATAAAATATTTCAGTAAGCAACTTTGGGAGGAAAAAAAATCTGATTTTTTAGTACCCCCTCACATAAGGGGAGGAGTGGAAACTAACATAAGAGAAATGGAAGCAATATAACATTTGGGGAAAGTTTAATGTTTGGGACATCTTTAATTGCCACCTCCTTGGCAGTAGTGTGACATTAATTCTTGTAAAAGAAATTATTACATTACTATCTTTTTCAAAATTTTGAATTTGAATATACTTCAAAAATCAGCATGTTCTCCTGCTCCTAAAATGAGAATCATCTAGTGTAGCCTTAAAGCATTCTCAAAAACATTGTTGCCCATCATTTGGAATACATATATTGTATTTAGGCTTTAAACAGCTTATGGAATAATGGAATAGAAACTAATGGAATTTCCCGTAATACTTTTTGAAAGTTTTCTGTACTTATTATTTTTAGTGTGTAGAACTTCAAATGACAGTGTGTGGGTAAAAGTGAAAAACCTGATATTAATAAAAATATTTTAAAGTTAAAACAAAAATCAGCATGTTCTTAAATTTGTCAGCTGTATTTTTTTAAAGTACCCTTATCACTTTTTTTTTAAAGTACCTTTCTGCACTTTACTAAGGGTGAAAACATTCCAATAAAGTAATAAATGATGTTTAAAACTTAGTGAAGTAGAAATTGCATCTTCAAAAGTAGTTTATTTTTTAAAGTTTCTATGACAAACAACTTTTAGGATAAGGTAAGAGTTGATAATTATTGATGGGTTTTCATATAAAAGCTGTTCCAGAGGTACAGTAAGAAGAATGGAGTAAATGACACTCTTTAAGGGAATGTCAACTCACCCAACACCAGGTGAAAAACAGACTGAAAACAGAGGGAAGCAAATCATGAACCTCTTGGTGTGTGCTGTCACACATAGCTTGCCAAGAGGTCAAAAGTAACTAATGACTTCGAGGGCTCAAGAATAATACTGAACAAGCAGAAAATTAACCTGAAACGCAAAATAGTTCAAAAATTGTACAAATTGAAATGCTCACAACAAAAAGAAACTTGTTTCCAGTTGACACTGATAAGTATTCAAGCAATTAGAAATCTAATACATGAGGTAAGATAAAACTTATTTAAACATAAATTATATTTTAACATATTTATGATATGTTAAGAAATTAGAATCAAAACATAAACCCTAGCTTAAAATCAAGGATAATCATAATAATGATAGAAAAATCACCTTGCAGTTCTGCAGCAGTCGTATGAGGTGTTCAAAGCAATTGCTGTTCAGAAAAATGGCCTGCAGAACAGGCCTATCTGTGCAATCTAACATGGCTGTGATGGTATCTAAGAAAGTAAAAATAAAATCACCTATATACAAACTAGAAGATTTGGGATCATACAAACATTTTAAGTTAGGCTTCAATTAACAAAACAGATGCAAACTAAATTGTGAATAACAGGCTAAAGAGTAGCACGTAAAATCTGTATTTTTATGTGATGGGAAAAGTGAATAATTTTGCACTAATTTATTATATTGAACTTTTCATAGACAAGAATTACATATTTCATAGGCATTTATTTAGTTGTCTCTCCATTATAGGCCTCAAGTTTAAACCAACTGTGATCTCCAACTATATATTAATCAGTAGTACCACCCCTTCCTGGCCAGAAGCGTGCGTCATATAATTGTCTTTGTGCAATACTCACTCAGCATCTTGATCTGTAGCGCTATGAACCGGCTTTCCCAGTGTCTGGACCTCTTTTGCTTAGGTAAAGCTGAATGATCTGAATTCAGCAACTTAAAGTAGTTCTCCAGAATCGTGCTGGTTTCCACCTGACGCTGATCAGAGCTGCTCGTCAGAAGGATGTGTACCACTTCTGTAAGGCACTTGAGAGTTAGTTCTACCTTCCTACCCACTTCTTCAGGGTCTCCATCCTCCCAACAATCACAATCGGCCAAAACTCTCATAAGCACTTCCACGGTGGCTGGAGAAATCGCTTGCAAAGCATTCCTCTGAAATATTAAGAGACAATAAAAACCAACCCTACCTGAAGTTCTGTATGTACACAACCACAAAGGGAATTCAATAAATCTGCAGGCTTTTTAAAAATTAAATCAACAGTTATTCTCCCTTACTTCATTCATATGATCTCTGATGTCATGCGCACACAGCCGCCTGGAATGAAGATTGAATTTCCTAGCTTCCTCTCCCATTAACAAGTTTTTGTAAACTGAAACTATTTGCCTTTTTGCAGTCTTAAGACCGAGTTTGGCCAATGAAATCAAACAGTGTGAGTCAAGTGGTTGGTCCACCTCCCTAAAAGAGAGCTGTTGTATTAATTCTGACTGATTACTGACAATTTTTTTAAGAGAAATAAACAGCGAACTCAAGCCATTAGCACGCTAGCATTAACTGCCGCCACTGACTCACAGCAACCCTGTAAAAGAGTTTAAACTGCCCCTATGGATTTGTGAGAGGTAAATGTTTATGGGAGTAGGAAGCTTCATCTTTCTCTTGCAAAGTAGCTGGTGGTTTTGAACTACAGAGTTTGCAGTAACAGCCAATGTGCGGATCCCAAATCTAACTGACACAACTGGTGGTGTAGTAGATTAATCATGGGGTTGTTATCTGCAAGGTCAGCAATTAAAACTAACCAGGTGATTTGTGGGAGAAGGATTAGGCTACTTGTTCTCATAAAGACTTACAATCTCAGACACTATATGGAGCAGCTCTGCTCTACAATATAGGGAATTAACACCATAGCAGTGGGCGGGGAGGTACTTGATTTTTTTACATAGATGGTTTGTCATTTACTTTTCATAATGACTAAAAATGTTAATCCTGCATGCTAAATTATAATTTTCTTTTAAATTAAAAAAAAAGAAACTAAAATATATGTATATTTTAAAATTCAAAATCACACTAGAAATGAACATGGGATTCAAACCTAGGTTTGGCTCCAAAGCTCCTTTTATCACACAAAACAGACCTGGCTTGAATGCAGTAACAGAGGTAAAGAACGAATATGGGAGGCAGAAGCCACAGCCTGGTATTTAATATGAGCTTCCAGTCACGAGACTCCAGTATGTCTGTTCTATCTGACAGACCACTCCTTCAATATTCAAGTTAGCTAATACTCGTGTACTGATTACAAATTCAACATACAGTCTCCCTTCTTACATAGTTCTAATTTCAACATAGTGGGCTATTATTAACTATCATTTCACATTTTAACTTTCAGCACTTTTCTCACCTGCCCACCAGCGACAATGGCTCCGAAGAGATGCAACAGGCAACACTTAAGGCTTTCCTTGAGATGTTCACTTTCCTGAAAACATTCTGTAAAAACATTAAACAAATAAAGACTTTTCCCGCACAATATAATTTATCTCTAAGAAATGCCTGACACTAAAACATGTAGATCTATTTGTGAAAAGGGAAAAATTTATGTTAAAGTCAAAGTTGCTGTGCATTTTTCCATAGGCAGGGAAAAGAGAAATCATTTTTGAGATAGTATTATAGGTACTTTATGTGTGGGAAACAGAAGGATTTCTCTCAAGTTGTCTCCCCCAAATATATGCCAGACTTAGCTGCTTGAGAATGATTATACACTTGGAGGTCATCAGGAGATTAGGGGTCATTCTCCCAAAGTGCAATCAGCCATCTAGACCAAAGCAGACACTACTGTTTATCCCACAACAAGTAGGGCCCATTCCCTTCTGATAAGGATAGTAGTTGTCTGTTTCCTTGTAGGAGACACCAGAGAAGTCAAACCCGCCCAAGGATGACCGAGGTTAGGCTGCCACCATGAATCTAGGGTCCGCCCATCTTGTCACATGTATACCCCTTAGACTTTCCCATTCATATGGGCACACCTCTAGCTCATCCCCTTCCTGTTACGCTTATGCCTATCACAGATCCCCTTCCTACAATGTGTATGCCTATTGTACTGCCCCTTCCTGTGACGTGTGATTCTGTAATCATGTTCCCCTAAAGTGCTATAATGCGTGGTTAGCAAGAAAGAAAAGGCTCTCCACAGCTCTGGCGCTAGAGACTCTCCCCAGTCCTGGCTTCCCGGGGGCCTCTCTGCTCTCGGACCAGGGGAGGCTCTCCGGTTCTCAGTCCCAGAGGCTGCTCCTGCTCTCGTGGCCAGGTTATGAGAACCATCAAGCGGGGCTGAGGTGAGCAATGCTACCATGAATTGTGTCTGACTCCATCTCTCATGCTCTCTATGACTTTACTATAATCTTTACTTATTATCGCTGTACAATTGCGCCTACCGGACCTGTGATGATTTGTGAGGGCCTCTCCTCCTGCTCCCCACATTTATGTTTTCATATTTTGATAATACTCCATGTGTTATTTTAGTGCCCTTTATCCTAAGCAACCAGAACATCAGAAGTTAGTATTTTGCCCCATGGTTAGTTGAGAGAGCTCGGATAAAACCTAAATATATTTTTACTACTACAACTGCTGCCTCTGAGCTCCACTTGTTCTACTAAAACACAAGAGCTTGAAAAACACATTTCCTAGGTTTCTACAGGGTCAATATATTCTAAAAGTTTAAAGCCAACCTTTTATTTTTTGTTCCCAAATTGTCATTTCTTTCTTTAAAAAGCATTTTATTGGAGGCTCTTATAGCTCTTAAAACAATCCATATATCCATTGTGTCAAGCATACTTGTACATATGTTGCCCTCAACCTTTTCCCTTTTATTTAAATCATTTTACTGGGGGCCCATATAGCTCTTATCAAAGTCCATACATACATCCAGCACATTTGCATATATGTTGCCATCATCCTTTTCAAAACATTATCTTTTGACTTGAGCCCTTGGTATCAGCTCCTCGTTTTTTTCCCTCCCTCCTGAACACTTGATGAATTATAAATTATTATAATTTTCATATCTGACACCATCCCGCTGTCTCCGTTCATGCATGTTTCTGTTGCCAACCTTTTTTCTAAGCATTATAGATTTTTATTATTTTCAGTAAATTATTCATGAAAAAAAAATTTTTTTTTATAGCATAAAAGGGCTGACAAGGAAAATTCTCCTTCCGACCTATTCTCCAATCTACCGGGTTTTCAGCTACTGTGGAAAACAAAAGAAAAGAAAACTATACAAACTCTCCTGCATCATTTTTTGTTTTTTGTTTTTGTTTTTGTTTTTAATCAGATCTTAAGATAGACATCTTTTTCATTATTGACAGCATACCTCTACATGGATACACCTTTATTTAAACCAGTCTATACTGATAAATGTTTATGCTTTTCACTTTTTTTATGCTAATAATTCTGTAATGAATATCCTTTGCATACATAAGCATACTCATAGTTAAGACCTTCATAAGAGAATTATTTCTACTCTGATATATAACAAAACAGTGTCTATACAGGGAGTACAAGTGGTACACCTGCCCCAATCCATGGCATTTTCAATCATCTCTTACTGAAAGCTAGATAATGAATAAGAAAGCCCAAAGAAGAACTAAGGCATCAATGAGGGGAGTGCGGAGTGGAGACCCAAAGCCCATCTGTAGACAGTTGGACATCCCCTTACAGAAGGGTCACAATGAAGGGACAAACCAGTCAGGGTGCAGTATACCACTGACAAAACATACAACTTCCCTTTATCTCCTTAATGCTTCAGGACTCCCCCCCACTATCATGACTCCAATTCTACCTCACAAATCCAGCCAGATCAGAGTATGCACAGATAAGAGCTGCAAACACAGGGAATCCAGGACAGATAAACCCCTCAGGGCCAATGATGAGAGTAGTAATCACCAGGAGAAGAAGGGGAAGGGGGGGAGAGGATGGGGGAACCAATCACAATGATCTACATATAACCCCTTCCCAGGGGGATGGACACCAGAAAAGTGGATGAAGGGAGACAGGGGATCAGTGTAAGACATGAAAAAACATTTATAAATAATCAAGGGTTCATGAAGGTGGGAGGGTGGGGGAGGGAGGAAAATGTGCTGATACCACGGTCTCAAGTAGAAAGGAAATGCTTTAAAAATGCTGGCAAAAAAAAGAAAATGATGGCAACATAGGTACAAATGTGTGTGGCACAATGGATGTATGTATGCATTGTGATAAGAGCTAAAATTATTTAAAAAAAATAACTGAAGCATCTAAATGTTAGTATTGGTGAATAATACTGAATATACCATAGACTGCCAGAACAACACACAAATCTGCCTGGGAAAAAGTACTGGCAGAATGCTCCTTAAAAATGAGGATGGCAAAAAAAAAAAAAAGGATGGCAAGACTTTGTCTCTGTATTTTGGACATGTTATCAAGAAAGCTGTCCTACCAATCTCAATGAATGACACATAACCACACACACCACCAGGGGGAAGAACAACAGAAAACCATGGGGGAAGGGAGACAGTCATGTGGACATCTGCCTCTCCCCAAAGAAGAATTTACTTTAGAGGACAGCACTGAAGCTGCAGTTCAGGGAGAGGGACATGTCTGATCAGAGCACACAGGAGCAAATGAATGGGGAGGAAGAAAGTGGAGCAAAACCTGGCCCAGCAGGCCTGGAGGACAATATCCCCACTCAAAACAGCCAATACACATAGCTGACCCATAGCCCTACAGGGTACAACACCGGAGACTCAGTGTCGGGAATGGCCCGGTCTGACCCCACAACACAGAGGCAAAACATAAAGGGCTTGCCACAGAGCAGTGGGGGAACAGCAGGGAGCTCCCGAGGGAGTACAAAGGATAGACTCTGGGGCCAGAGCGTGGCACCCCATCAGACTGGGGTGGCACGCCAAGAGGTCAGCAAACAGACCTTGATCTATTTACAGGTTTTTCTTTTTTTAATTTTTTAATTTTTTTATATATTTATTTATTCTTGGTCATTGGTTTT